CCACATTTTCTTGATTTATTCATCCAGTTTTGGATACTTAGATTATTTCCATATCTTGGCTATTGTGAATAATGCTGTAATAAACATGGGAGTGCATATGTCTCTTCAAGGTACCAATTTCATTTCTTTTGAATATATATCATTTTGGTTGTCAATTATAAATTGATAAAGCTAGAAAGATTGATAAAAATTTCAATATAAATAAATATAAATGGTTAAATATGTTTGAGCATTAAAAGGTATAAACTTCACATATCTAGCTAATTAGCAGAACATAGTACAATGATTCAAATTCCATTCTCAGTTTCCTGTTCTGCAAAATTGGGATAATATAATACTTCCCTCATAGGATGTGTAAGGATTAAATGAGTTCATACATGTAAAGTGTTTAGAACAGACTGTGGTATATATTAAATGTTGGATAAATGTTAATTAACAGTGCATGCATCACAGATGACTTACTTGATAGAATGCCATAATAATTATATATCTCTATCTATCTATCTATCTATCTATCTATCTATCTATCTATCTATCTATCATCTATATATCATCTATCATCTATCTATCTATGTATCGATCTACCTATCTATCTATCTATCTATCTATCAGCTATTATTATCATCACCATCATCATCATCTATCTATCTAATCTAAAATACAGTGTCTGTGTCAGAATTTAATAGCCTTCAGTCAAGAACTATTCCCTTGGTATTCTATTCTATCATAATTAAGTTTATAATGTTCATAGGCTGGAAAATAGAATGTTATGTTGCCTTTATGGTTATCCTTATAATACATGAAAAATATAAAATATGTTGCCTGATTTATTTAGATGAAATAGTTTTAGCTCTTAAATTGACTTAAGAAGTTCTAGATTTCATTACTGTAAGCATTTCCCTTATTCTCTTTGAAACTTGTCTATATTGATCTCAAAATTTCAACACTTAATTGCAATAGAAATTTAAGTACTCTAGCTTCCTGCGGTCCAAGATAATTGAAAATTTAACAAACATTTTGAAATTCAAAGAATACTGATGATTCAAGCACTAATCATACATAAACAACATTATGAAGCACTGTAGCAGCAGATAGTTGGGAAACCATATCCTTGACCCAGATATGCCTTTAGAAAAGAAATATGAAGACCATACTTTCAGGGATCATTTCTACAGTTTGTTACTAGAGAAGTTTCTCTGAATGTATAGAGCATCGGAAACCACGAAAAGGAAGTACAGTATTTTGTCCTGAGCGTGAAGCTGGTTTTTGGTGTTGCATTTGCAACTACTATTAGCTATTGATGATCATTCTTTTCTCTCTTGGAGAGAGTGAGGAGAGAATGCAGTCTGATTGGTTCTTGTTTAACTAAATACACTAATGTTACAATGTTTCAATTTTTTCTAATGTATAGTTACATTTGTATTCAGTTTTGCTTTTTTATTTCAATCTTTGTTGGTCCGGTTCTCATAGTTTTTTTTTTTAATGTTACAATGTTTCAATTTTTTCTAATGTATAGTTACATTTGTATTCAGTTTTGCTTTTTTATTTCAATCTTTGTTGGTCCGGTTTTCATAGTTTTTTTTTTTTTTTTTTGGTAGCAGGAGAGAGATTTTTCCTCGCCCCCCCACAAGTGCTTACTAAGTAGCACACTACTTTTTTTTTTGCCTGTGAGTATATAGTATTTACATGTAGTTACCACCTTTCCTGGGCAAGCTAGCTTTCTCTGAACCTTGTTATTAAAGTGTTTGAAGCATCTCTGTGTTTTGAGCAGTAGGAGACAGTCTGACTATCAAAGTGATTTAAAGTAGTTTTAAATGCATATTTGATATGTTTTTTAATTGTTTTGAGATGGTTTGTTCTTATGCTGCAGATAAATTCCAAACCTACAGAAAAGTTTGGTTTAAGAGTTTATTTGAGCCAAGGTTTAGGGGCTAGTCCTGGAAGCAAAATTGGAAAGGAGTGAGAAAATGCTAATTTGAGAAATAGTAGTTTGACAGAGGAGAAGGCCACATGAAGTCCATTGGTGGAAGATTAAGGAGATAGGCAAAAGTAAAACAGGGCAATCTCCAGTAATAGATAAAAAGTAAAATGGAGAGATACTTTTTTTACATTGATGTGTGTAGGATGGGGAAGAAAAAGAAAAGGAATAGGAGGAGAAAGAAATGCCTATATTACATTTAGTTGGTCTCAAGCTATTGATATTGTAGTAGAGGTTTAAAAACTTTCATTTTATATACTAAAATGGCATATATCCAAAGGAAATGAAGTCAGTATCTTGAAGAGGCATATGCACTCCCATGTTTATTACAGCGTTATTCACAATAGCCAAGACATGGAAATAACCTAAATATACAACGATGGATTTTTCCTAAGTTTTAAAGAAGAATCTCCTTACGACAAAAACAACAAAATGTTTTAAGTATGCAATTTTAAATAATTATGCTTTGAAAAGAAAAATAAACATATTAGCCATATCATTATTAAATGGATTTTCTGCTACTCACATGTTAACATTGATTCACACAGAATAAACTAGCACAAAAATCATTTGAGCTTTATGAGTAAAAATTTATTCCTAGAACAAAGAATTTTCCACAAGGAATATAAAACATAAGATGGAATAAAATATAGAATACAAAAATTTACTACTTTTGTAATTTTTGTATTTCCTTCATCTTCCCTCTGCATACTTATAGATTATTCTATACTAGTTTTTTTTTTTTCCAACTGAGTAAATATTCTAGGACATAACTAAACTTACATTTATGAAATGAAAAAAATGCCAATAAATCAGAAAAAGTTATATATTTAAGAAAAAATGGTTTCTTCAACCACTAATTTTGTAGATATTTAAAATGAAAAAAAAAAAACTGTTTTATTTCAAAAATACAAAATAGTATTGTAGTTGATAAGTTACTCATATTATACTGTGTCACTCTAAATGTCTAATGAGAAGATTTAGAATTTATAATATGTTATCCTTATAGGGAGTAAAACTGGGCCTTACAAATATTAAACTATCCACATTTGGAGAAGGGGACTAAATGGTACAAAATTAGAAGAGCAATATTGCCCTCTTTTTAGATTTCTTTTTTCTCCTGTATCCATCCTCCTTTTGAGATCCCTCATAAATGCAGAAAAAAATAAACATGTGGATATGCTAAAAAATACCAAATACAATAAGAAGCTATAGATATTAATACTCCCCAAGAACAGAACTTGGAAGCTCTAAAGGAATTTGTCTTTATTACAATTAGGAAAGTGAATTATATTAAAGGAAAATTGTACCTATGCCCAGTCTTCACTTACAGTGAGGAAGCAGTGGTGCAGGTTGAACATAAAGGAATGAATGGATAGTGATTTTGAAGAGAACGTCAGTAGGACTTGAAGATAAAATTTTGTTTCAGAGATTTAACCCTGATTGAGAAAATATCACTGCCCTTAGTTGAAGTAATGGAATTAGGAATAATAATGCAAACCTCATAAATATATTTTGGAAAGGTGGGAAGATAAGGAATCTTATTTTAAGTATATTTGAATCTTATTTTATGTATATTGAGTGAGGAAGTAACTGGACTTCCAAATGATATTATTGCCAACATTTAGACATATAAAATGGAGCTAAAATTAAAGAGGCTGCAGCCAAACATAAATATATGAGGATGTCAGCATAGAGGTGGTTGTTGAAGCCACGACATATGATGATTTTATTACCCTCAATGGAGAATATGAATGGAATCAAGTGAATTATTAACCAAATGCACCTATTATGAAGTAGTTGAGAAGGAATATTTTGGAAATTGCAGTTTATGTTTAATATTTTTACTATGAGTATACATCCACATGGGATACCAAATTAAAAATGACTTCATTTTCATTTTAAAGCCCTTTAAATGAGGGTTCTCCTTGGCTCGGTTGTTCCCTGGTTCCAAGTGTTCACTCTGATGAGTTCCATTCCTGGAACAAAGGGAAAATACTGAATAACTTTCTCTGCCACGGGGCATTCAACTTAATATTTTCAGTATTAAATACACTTATTGCTTCAAATATATTTTATGATCTATAATGAGAGAGAAAATGTTTGTGACCTAATCAAAAAAGAAATATTAAATCTTGTCAAATCTTTTTAAGAAAAAAATTATTTTCTATAAGAAATGAGACTTTGGTAATCGAAGTCATCTCAGTTAAATATATTGAATAACCATTCATTTTATCATTCATTCATTTATGTATTCATTCACCAAATATATACTTAACTAATTCTCAATATTATGCATCATGCCAGAAATTGGAGATGTAGCAGTAAGAAGAAAATGACCCAGTCTTTGCCTGAATCGAGCTTATAATAAAGAATTAGAGAGATATATCAAACATAAGATGATACAAATACAAATTTGCAAAATATTAGAATTGTTATGAACACAAAAGTATAGGACATTATAAAAATATATAACATATATTACGTATACATGAAGAGAGGCTGTCATAGAAGACTTCCCTGAGGAAGTGACCTTTAAATTGAAACTGAAGGAAGAGTAAATGTTAATTTAGCGAAGTGGTGTGAAGATTAAAAAAAATATGCCAGGCAGACTAAATTGCATATTCAAAGTCTCTGGATTTGAGGAAGCCTAAAATTTCCCTGAACTTCAAATAAGACCAGTATGGTTGGACTTCACAGTGTACTTGTAAGGATGTTATGACCATGATAATATTCATCATGTTCAAGCATCAGAGAGTATAGTTACTGACCCATTTAGACTCACTATCTTGATTGTGAACTTAAAATAATAAATTACTTGTGGGCCAGATTTTGCAAGAACTTTGATTTTACACCAATGATTGTGTATTTGTCCCAAGTATAATGAAAAACTTTGAGTAGTCTGGAAAATTCTACCATAAGACTTTTAAAGTAATTCATATAAAATATAATGGTGATATACAGTAAAGGAGCAATAATCAAATTGGTAAAAGTAGAGAAAGTGTCTGATATTTAACATCAACTTAATATGAAATGTGATATGTATCAAGAATTGTAAAAGGCCTGAGAGTTTTATCTTTTATGCAAGATGACAGATTAGCCTGGGGCAGTTTCATGGATGCTGGCAGAAGACATGAGACTCCTGGATTAGGAACAAAGGACTTTATTATGGCAAAGTACTTTATTATCATTATACCAGCAGTAATCAGAGTGTCAGCATTTGAGCCATTTATATAACCTCTAATTCCCACGGTAATATGAAATGGGCCTAAAAATAACATGAAGTGAATTGTTTTACAAGAGAAGAACCTTGGGTCTAGGGAATCCAAATCTTTATAATGGGCAGAAAGCTTACCTAACCTTTGTCTTAGATGGAGGCATTATCTTTATTACATTGCACAACAACAACAACAACAACAACAACAACAACAACAACAAAACTTGCTTTTCACTCTGGAGAAATAGTATCTTTACTATCCAAGATAAATAGCTATACAAACATACTTGAAAATATAGTCCAGAACAAAGACAGTGAGTGAAATTGTTTATTAGTTATAAAGAATAAATGAGATCCATGGAGAACTGTCTCCCAAAATTACGATGAGTAACAAAGAGGAATATATAAAGGAAGATTTTGAAATGTATAGATTATTCAAGATAATCAAAGAAGTGCTTCTGACTAAATCACAAATAATATTTTTTTTAAAAAGTATGGAATAAGGAGAGTGATGAGGAAATGATAATGTTTCAGTTTTAGAAATGTTGACTTTAAAGTGCTGTTGTGATATCAAGGTAGAGATGTCAAGTAGATAGACATACGTGAGTGAAGCACAGGAAAATAAATTTGATAGTTTGATATAAAATTGGAAGTCATTTGCATTACTCAGCAATAGAAAGTTTATGTATGAATAAGGTTTCCAAGGGAGTAATAACCCTTCGTTATTACTTATGTATGTCCAGGAAAATGGAGTAAAGACAGTCTATTCAATAAAATGTGTTGGGAAAAATATACAGATACATGAAAAACATTAACCTAGACCACTTTCTTACACTATATATAAGAGTAAACTCAAAATGGATGAAAGATGTAAATGTAAGATTCAAAATTATAAAACTAGAAGAAAACATAGGTGGTAAACTCTCTGACATCGCTCTTAGTAATCTATGTTTCTGATATGTAACTGAGGGCAAAGAAAATAATGAAACAAACAAAACTCAAATGAAACTACATTAAACTAAAAAGTTTTTGCACAGCAAAGAAAACCATTAACAAAATGGAAAGACAATTTACTGAATAGGAGAAGATATTTGCCAATGATACATCTGATAAAGGCTTAATATACAAAATTTATAAAGAATTCACGCAACTTAACACCA